GATTGGAAATTATGGTGGGCCTACACTCAGTGTGTCAGCAGCTTGTGACAACAACTGCAAACATATTTAAAGGCAATAGAAACTGAAGGAAAAAAAAAAGGCTTGTAAACAAAGACAATGAAAATATAAACTTATTATATACATGTACTGTGAAATCTACACTATCATAATTAAACAGGTCCTATTAAAATATTTTAAAAAATGTCCTAAGCCTTCATTTCCATGGCTGTTGCTTATTGTCACGTTGTTTTCCACTGCTGGCTGGCCTTGATGTGCTTTGATTGTGTGGGTAAGCTGTATAAGTAAAAGATAATTACTTTAGAACTTATTTAATAATTAACTATAATGCAAACAAGAAAAAAATTTTAACAAAGTTTTTATATTAAATAAACAGATGGAGAAAAGTGTATCATAAAAACAATAGACAAGAAATAGTATATTCTAAATTTAAAATGTATAGAAACAAATATTTAAGTCACATGATGGTAAATTGTAGTGTTACATGATTTGTAAAAATCAACACATTCCTTTATTCAAATATGTTCTGACTACTTTTTATAAGCATTGTTTACCTTAAGCTATCCCTGTTATTTTCATGTTTCTTAGAAAAATTAAATTATAATGTAACCACTTTAGACAGTATAAAAATCAATAGTGTACACAAACACTAATTTAAGTTTTAAAAAAAAATTTCAATTAGTTAAACCAGTTCATACCTCCTGGTGCTGTTCTATCTTTTTCTCTTGATTGAAATACTTTGACAATATGAGGAAGAATATCTTCACTTGCAGTGACAGTGACATACTTTAAGGAATACATTTTATCTGTCTTATCTCTTACAAATTCATAGACAAGTTGAGCAAATTTTCCAACACTTTTAGAAAGGGCCGATTTTTTGCTGTTTTTGTTATCTGTAAGAAAAATTGTGGCACTCAGTAGGTCAAAGGCATGGACTTAAAAATCACATACAGTTACCTATATTTTTACTATAAGCTACTGTATATATTTAACTTGTGTAAGAAATTAAATCTAAAGGTTGTCTAAAATATATATTCAATGGCAAATTAATTTTACTGTACCTGTATACAGAAACTTGCTTGTAACAACTAATGATGTCAATGGATCTTTCATCAAACCAACAGCTGGTTCTAGATTTTTAAAAGATTTCTCCAATTGTTCCTGGTTGAATTCATCAATAGCTAGTTGGAATACATAAATTGGATCTTGATCCCTCATTGTTGACGTAAAGGTTTTAACATTGTTTATTCTTTTACCCATGTCAATTACATGCAGGTCAGCTGTCTTGAATTCACTGTGTCCACTAAGTTTATCAAATGGATCTCCAATTATGATGACCAAATTAGGTTTAAATTCAAATGCAAGTTTAGGGCTTGCACCAAGTTTTATATGTCGAACAAAAAGTGAATGTGCTAGTATTTTTGAAGCTGTATGATTACTAAATGCAGCACTTTTTCTTTCTTCGCCTTTGTATTCTTTAGGCCTACTAATTGTATTAGTATGGGAACCAGCAACCACATCCTGTTTTTCTTGGTAATTTTGCTTATAAGGTTTATCTCTTGAAATGTTTAAAGATTGGCTTTGTTTTTTCATGTAAGAAACTGCAAAGTTTAAATCTTCCTCATAGAACTCCTGAAGTATATCCTCACGCCATAGTTTAAGGAAATTTTCATTAATAGTATCAATCATGGTATCATTTATATCAACAAAATGAATTTCTTTCAAAGCTGTCCAGTCCTTTTTTTGTATAATGGCATCATAACTTTTTACAGCATGCATGTAGGCCTCAGCGCATAGATCTTTGGGGACTCTAAATATGGCTGTGGATGCAAAAAAAAAAAGATATTAAATGCTTAAGATATTCATAAATTCTGTTTTCTAATTTTGCAGTAGCAAAAGAAACATTAAATCTGTAATAAAGTTTTCTTTACTGTGTTAATAACACATTTTTATGGTGGCCATAATAAAGATGTCAGTAGAAGTAGATCAACTCTAAGTTTTTTTTAATTTATTTATAAAGCTTCATGATCATTTTTAATAAAATACACTTTCATTACATTTATTTTACAAATTCTGTAACAATACTTAGGTTGAGTGGCATAGCTTACGGTAATAGTCAGCAAACCCTGAGAGGGGGCCAAAAGAGGTAGATAAAAAACCTCAATTTTTGTTTGACATAGCTCTACACTTCATTTGTATAAGATTTTTTAAATGATTGGTGTGAATAGAAATCATATGAACATGGGCTTAGTACAATTTAAACTATTAAAATTTACAGGGAGACAGTATTAGGATCCAGTTCACAAAACACCTCTTTATTCCTGCTTATTAAGGGGATATGCAAGGTAAAAAAATCATAAAATTTCTTGTTTTTCGTCATGATGGGTTTCTTGCACTTTTTAAATCAATGAATATTTATTTTTACCTGTTAAGTTAATAATGAGCTAATTATATAATCAATAAGGATGAACAGGATTTTGGATAGTAAATATCTCAAAATAGTTAATAAAGCAAATTTTAAAATAAATCTATTTGTAAGCTTAGTCAGTAGCACCGCAAAGCAGGTATAGTGATTTTGATGAACTGTCACCTACTTGAAGAAAATCCATTTCTACAGATAAAATTAAGCATTTTGTTTAACTAATTTTAGGTAATAATCAGAGATTCTTACAATCATCTCTTCCCAAGCAAGTCTACTGCCGGTCTGAACAAAATATTCTATTTATTCTATAACAAATGTCTGCCCACAGAAACTTTTGTGTCTCCCCCTCCCCCACCCCAGAAAAAATGTCTGAAAGAAACATTATTAATAACATCTAGAAGCACCACCAGAAAGGGTGGTGGGTGGGGTGACAAAATAAATTAACACAATGGTGACACCCAATTTAGTGATGCCACTAAATAATACATTTGTAATGGTTTATTTTACAAAGTTAAAACTTTATAATAGAAGTTAAATTCTATCCCGAATTAAAGAGGTTCTGGATTATATGATATACAAGCAGACCCACGACGTAGCATACGCTGCTATTTAGTTGCTTTATTTTCTACTTTTCAGTAATTCATAACTTGTGAATTCGACACTACCAATGCTGCAACTAAAAAAATTTGCTTTAAAAAACACTCAGTAGCTCATAAAGGACAATAACCCCCCCCCCCCCCTCCCCCCAGTGAAAGCAGCCACCTCTTAGTTCCCTCCCCTAAGTTTCAAATAGTTTAAAAACTAAATTATCTGCCCCTAATAGCCATCACTAATTGAGCCCAGCTCTACCATTGTAAACATTTGGCGTGAATCACAGCTCACCAGACTGGTAGGGGTGGTAGCGATAAGCTTAGAGAGGAAGAAAGTGGGCGGCTAGGTGAGCTTACATGGTGGTGGTGTCCCGCATGGTCCCCATGTAGAGAATTATATATATATATATATATAGATACACACATGTGATCATAAATAGTAAAGGTTTTATTGGCATTTTCTTAAAAAATGAATACACCACACTCATATTGTTATCTACTTTAACTAAGTACACAGTTGTAAGCCTATTATCATGGAGAATACTTAACTTGGGTTTGGTAATTGTGTTTGATGGGCCTATATTATACTATTTAAAACTATACACAAAACAAATTTAGATACAAACCTGCACTTATAGATGGTAAAGCTATAGTTGACATTTTCATTTTTGTGGCCTCCAGAAGACAAGTGAGAACTGTTTTTCTCAGATCATCTGTGCACTTGTTCTTATCCACATAATCATCCCACTTTGGACCAACAGCATGTATGACATGTTTAGCTGGCAGGTCTCCACCAGTGGATACAAACACTCCAGTGACTTGAACAGACTTATTTTCTTCTATATACCTCTCACATTCATATTGAAGGTCATAACCTGCAGCTTTTGAAATGACATAGGCCACTCCACCTCCATGTTTTAAATGCCTGTTTGCAGCATTTACAATACAGTCAACTTTAAGTTTAGTGATGTCTGCATTGTGAACAGAGATTTTCAATCCAGTGCAACCAATATATAAAGTAGTATCATTTAAAGAATATATATATCTTTTTCCTGATATCGTTTCATTAGTTGTGCCTTTGATAGGGAACTGATGATTTTTCTGTCTAGTATTCTCAGTTGTTTCTCTTGTCACATCTTTGGCTCTTGCCCCTCCATAAGAAGGAGCCCTATGAGTGGAGGAATAATCTTCAGTGTCTTTGTCATCTTGCCATGGGGTATTCATCTCTTCATTTCCTATTTTTGTATTTAATTTTCTCTGAATAGCCTTGATCTCAGCATTGGGTCCTACCAACACCATTCTCTCTTTTAGTCTGATGATTTTTGTATCTTCTGAGAGTAAAACAGAAATAGTATCACTAATTTCTTGCTGTATTGGTACTATCTTTAAATCCTTAAGTTTTGCAAGTAATTTTTCCCTCTTCACGTCCCCTGTTCGAATCAGAAATTCATAATCTTCAACATCGTAAAAAAAAGATGAGTACTCTGTTTCATAAAAGTAAATTTTAGCAGCTTCAAAATCCAGTTGCTTCATTTTAAAGACAGTAATTTCATCGTCCTCATCCCCTGATTCACTATTGCTTCCAAGTACTTGCTTCTTTTCTTTTGTATTGTTTTGAAATGTGGTTTTAACTGGAAAGGAACCATTTAAATTTTCTGAAGATTTTATATTGATATTTTTTTTATAAGCTTTTGTCAAAATATTGGCCAATGATTTGAAATTTTCTTGGTCTGGAAAGGTAACACTTTCTATTACTGTAGGGTTTTTATCATCATACTGGAAATTTAGATCTCTAAGTTGATGTTTGTCTTTTTCTTCTAACTTTATCTCTTTTCTCAATTTGATTTCAAACTTGTCAATCTAAAAATGTAGAAATAAGAAAAAATAAATTGATATTAGTCATATTAACATATACATTATGTGAAGAAATATAGATGCTTAAGGTATAGAACTACTAAGGTGATGTTTCTCAAATCAGTCATATGTATTAGCTTAAAGTTCTGTCAGCACTACAGATGAATTAAACTTCAAAGACATCTTGGACTGAAATATTAAAGATAATATCAGTAATGTATTTAATTTTGTTAATACATTTGTTTATGTGTCAGGAAAAACAGACAAAAAAAAAACTGAACAGCAAGAAACAGAATCCAGACTTTATCAGATGATTCCTTAGTAATTTATTTTTAAAAATATACTGGTATGCTAAAGTAGTGAACACAAAACTATGGGCTACTTGGAGACAGAGAGCGTTAGAAATACAAATCATAAATATGGTAATGGAAAGAGTTTGGAAAAACTAAAATGACTGGCAAGGGTACTGAAGAATGATCAGCTTAGACAGAGGCTCCAAGTTTGACAAGCAAGTCACAGACAAAAATTGTGATGATAGCTCAGTTGAAGGACAAATTCTTCTTGAAAATATAACATGCCTATGTTGTAAATAAGTTTGTTTGTTTGTTTAGGAGTGAGAGTATTTGTTACATTTGTGTGTAGGGCCATTTAGGAGAATGTCAGAGGAAGGTTTAGTCAGTGTAGTCTAGGTTGTTAAAATGTAAGTAAAAAGTGTTTAATTACTGTTTGGTTTATAACAGACGAGCTGACCCGCAGTGTAGCATAAGCCGCTATTTAATTGTTTTATTTTCTACTTTTCAGTAATTCTTAATTTGTTAATTTGACACTTTACAGACAACAAAGAAAATATCAAGCAGAAATTGTAACCCCCCCCCCCCCCATATTTTCAAATCATTTAATTTAAATATGTTTAAATATCTGCCCCTAATAGCCGTCACTAATCCGACCCAGCTCTACAATTGTAAACATTCGACATAAACCATAGCTCACCAGACAGGTGGGGGTGAGGGTGGTAACTGTATGCCTAGAGAGTGGGGGAGTAATGGCGTGCATTTACGTAGTGCCTCGCATGGTCCCCATGAAGAGAAATATATATATATAGAATGATAGATGTGCAGATATCAAAGTTTGTTGGGTTTTTGTCTATGTTTATTGTATAGTGTGTGAACCATACAGGGACAACTATAATAGGTCTTAAAATATCTTTATTACTAAGTACGACATACGAGAGCCCCAACATACACAATTTGTGAGGTACAACTACAAGCATGCTAAAATTTGCTTTTCCACATACGAGCAAAGTTTGAGATATGAGTAACCAGATCCACAGGTTTAAGAGTTCATTAAAAAGAACAACACACTGAAAACATTGCAACTGATTGTGCATTGGAGATATTAAATGAATATATACCTAACTTATTTCCAAAATATTCTAATTGGGAGGAAAAAATCAAAACTTCTTGGACAGGTTTATTTTAACATACTACGTGGAAAAGTTGGGAAAGTGAGGAAAGCATGCCAAAAAAGCAAAGACCATTGAAGAGAAAAACAGCGGCGAAAATTATGCGATAGTGACAAAACATTACGATTATAAAGTACTAGTCTAGTACTAGATCCAGCATTTTGACATTCATTTCTAAACTGATTTTACTAACAAATTAAACTTTATTAAACTCCTTCGAAGTAAAACTCACTGCAATTGTATTAGGGCCTACTAAAAATAATAAAACATTAGGGCCTATCTAATTTAGTAGGCCTAATTAAATTATTAATTTAATAATTAATAGCAATTCTAATAAAATAGTAATATAATATAGTTAAATATAGTCATACTCACTCTAAGACTTTATTATAGACTATTACTATTTAGTATTTAGTACATTTGATGTTATATATAATATATATATAGGATATATATATATATATAGGATATATATATATATAGATCTAGATCTATCACTATATATTATATATAATTATTAATGTTAATAAATCAAATAATTATTATATAAATTTACTTTAATTTACTAAAGAGAGTGCACGGTACATACATATAATTAATTTATTAATTAAGTACTAAGTACATACAATTTTGTGATACAACTCTTGGTCTTGAGTGTCTTGAGACATGATAGATCTAGATCTACTACAGACAAAACTAAATAATGTAGTGTTCAAGCAATAATTCTATATAGATCTAGATTATATTTCAGGCAATAAGAGTGTAGTATGTAGATCTAGATCTAGATTCTTGTTAGGCCTGGATCTCCAGATCTAGCCTACTATGAACCGTAGGAAAACCGAAACGAATTTGAGTCAATGTTTCGTAGAAAAGCCCACTATTTTTAGCTTATATAATCATGTGACTTTCTCAAAAAAAAATTACTATTAGATCTAGGTCCTATGGTTAGTTGTATTTTTTACGCTTTTATGTGGTTTCCAGAAGTAATAACTAGATCTAGAACCTACAGCTAGAACTATATTTTATGGAATTTACGGTAATATTTCTTTTAGTCCATTGAGCATTAAAACTAGACTGTAGTGTAAGCAAAATGAAAGTATTATTTTGTATGAAGTCGATAGGCACGATTTCATTTCGGAAAACCCCGATTTTATTTTCACTAAGAATTTTGTTTTGCCATTCTAGTTTTAACAATTAGATTTAGATCTAAATCTAGTTCATTTTTACTTTATTTTACGGCTGTAGTGGAATTAGGTGGTGTTTTCGGGTGTGGGGAAATTGCGAGACGCGAAAAGCGAAATCGCGAGGCGGGAAAGTGCGAGAAGGTAATGCGAGACATACCTGCGGAATTAAGGGTAAATAGCGAGACACTTTTTGCGAAAAAAGTTTTTTCCTTTTTTTTCCATCTTTATTTATTTAAATTATTTTTTTTTGTTTTAAAATAAACAAGCATTTAGCCATACCCTTTAACACGAGTGTTGTATGTTGTTATTTTTTATCTAGATACTAAGAAGATAGATAGATCTAGATCTATTTAAAAATCCTAACATCGTTGCTGTGCTACTGTCATCGCCCGCTCTTGTTAGCGAGAGGAAAATCCCGTCTCAGTCGGCATTAATTTAAAAATCTAGCCCGCTCATGTTTATACAAACGTGAGCTGTGTCATTGTGAATTGGTATAATCTTGTCAGCAGGAGAGATATTTTGCAACATCTATTTTCGGATTTTTGTACTTGCAAAAAGTGTAAAAGTATAAACAATTCTAAAAAGTGCAATTTATTTTTTTATTAAGTAATTTTAATTACAAACAAAATCTTCTGAAACAGTCCTCAAACACACCTCGTGACACCATCTTTCACACATAGTACACCCAACCCAGTTCATTAGACTCCCATTTATACATTTTTCTTTTGCTACTTCTTCCAATCCACATTCACAACAATTCACATTCTCATCACAGTTGACCTCCTCGTTCATCCCACAAACAACAATGGCACCCATGTTCTCATCATAACACAAAATTTCTATGCAACAATAGAAAATATGTTTGCGGCGGCAGCGGATCCGGGCACGGCGATCTTCAAAGACGGTAAATCAGGCGGCCTCGGCGTTCCACACAAAAGACAGAAGTTGATCTATCGTCGGCGGTATTTCCGTCGGTTTCGAACAAGGTGGTATTCTAAGTCGACACAAAAGATGGGGGGAGTTGACATATCATCAGTATGTCTAGCGACGGAAAAATCGGAAGTTTTAACAATGTAAACGAAACATCTTTGAAGTCTGGACCAAATACCACTGAAAATCGGGTGCGGTAAATTTTTCGCAAAAATCTTCGCATTTCAACACCACCCAGCGTAAGTATCGGCTTGTGGTAAAATGCGAGACAAAAAAGTCACGTGACCGACCGTTTTCGCGCCCTTCTCGCATTTTCCCGCCTCGCCATTTCGCTTTTCGCGTCTCGCAATTTCCCCACACCCGGTGTTTTCTTTGGTCTGTAGAAATTTGAGTAGACATAAGGGATGGGGTTGGTTTTTAAAAATTCAGCTCAAATTACGTTAATGTAAGGGTTCACCGTCAAAACGACGCGTTTCAGACATCTCTTCGATGAAAGTCTACCCCCCCCCCCCCTTTCCCAGAACGAAATGGAATTTATATAGAAAACATACTTTTACCAATGTCCACCCCCCCCCCCCGGAAATATTAAGTGCCCCCCCCCCCCTCGGAGAAAAACGGAGAAAAAAGTCCGAAAGAAACACTGGTGACAAAACGGCCCGACAATATGACTCAAAATAAACCCGTCAAAATGCCCTGAAATATTGACTCCCGACATATAGGCTGATTAGGCTCCCGACAAAATGACTCCGATTGGCTCCAGACAAATGAATATGAATCGTATGACTACTATTGGCATAGACATCCATTTTATCCAGCCCACCAACCACATACAGTTCCTACCCCACTAACACTATAAGTTAATAACCTCCTTTACTTGCTTGAATAAAAAACTGTTTCATGAACCGACAGGAATTCTTACACACAAATTTTGATGTTTTATTTACAACCGTGAACATATGTTGCTTAAAAGCGAGCGCAGTTCTTTAAATGTATGATATACATGATGTTTTTAGGATACAATTTTTGTTTTGATAACCTACAAGCACACTACAGATAAATGTGCAGCGTGGACTCAGCCCCCACACATTGAGTTGGGACAGCCCACAACCGACTCATTTGATGGAAGTCGCAGCTAGATGACCCAGAGTAAGGCATGCCGAACAAGAGCTGAATACGTTGTATTATTTAAGGCAAGGGCGGAGCTACAGTGCCGCCAGACCCCGCATTGCGAGGGGGGGGGGGGGGAGGGGAGGGGGGGCAGGCCGTTTAGGGGCCCACAGCCGACCATAATCAATTTTTTTATAGTTAAAAAAAATAATTTTCTTGCATTTTTGACTTGATGGATGTTTTATAAAAAGAATACTGTAGCTGCGGTTGGATTACCTATATTCCACAGACACCATCCCGAGTCCTCTTTCTTTCTCCTACAATAAAACACACGCTGTTGTCGGCAAAATTCTTTTAAAAATAAATGAAAGTCCAATGCGCGAGAGGCCGCTAGATATTAAGACTTTTGCTTCTTTATAGCATTGATTATGGGCCCACAATCCGTTGTGATTTTATAATGTAAAACGGAAATGTATTTAAAAATTAATAATATAAATTTTAAAAATATAAAAATAAACATTACACATACTAAGCTTTTATGCGTCATATATTTTTTGACCAACTTACTTTTATGAAGCATTATAGCAGACATATATTGAAACAGATTTTCAAAACAGACTAATAGCACCCCAAAAAAAAAATAGAAAAAAAAATTATTTTCAATGTTTTTTCAAAACTTGAACAAGCCCGAAATGAGTATTCTTTGTTCGTAATATATATATATATATATATATATATATATATATATATATATATATATATATATATATATATATATATATATATATATATAGGGGGGGAGCAGGGGAGCGGCCGCTCCCCATCTGGCCATTTTCAGCAAAGTGGCGCCTTTTTGGAAATATTTTAAACTTAAAGTTTTAAACAATGATATTAAGACTTTTGCTTCTTTATAGCATTGATTATGGGCCCACAATCCGTTGTGATTTTATAATGTAAAATGTTCGTTTGTTGTATTTGTAGAACTACTATTCTGTACTATTTCGGTTATATATATGTTTACTTCTTTTCGTTTTACAAATACGATGGTAAACGTGTTTAGTTTTACTTCTCTCCCTTGAGTGTTTCACAATAGTCTTTAGGAAAAGTAGTTGAGACCTTCCCAACTTGGAAAGTTTTTGAGTACTCATAGACCTAAGATTTGTTTAAAATGTGTAGTTGAGCGCCCCGAGATCCCCAGGGCTATGTAAGCACCAGGGGTCCGCTTATTGGGTGTCCTGCACAGTGGGGATAGGTGTACTACTTGAATCATTAGTCTCGCTGCATTAGATGCCTCCTCTGGTGGCCTTGTCCCAAAAGCCCCTTGACGCTTCTGACACCAAAGCCGTCGCCGAGGGGTGTTTCTTTATCCATCAGCTGGGTATGTTTGTGGTTATGTGTACAAACTAGCGCCCAAATAGCTGAGCCTTGATAGTGGTTTTGTAAAAAAAAAAAAAAACCCAGATCTATTACAGTAGTGATGTTCTATAGTAACTAACACACACCATTGCGTAAAAAAAAAAATATGCATGAGTTGTAGTGTGAAAGATAGGCAACGTTCAAACCAGACCCATGACTTATTTCCCTTATTTAAATAGTCAAATATAATATGTGCTCTTAATTAAGCACATTTTAACAGTTTTGCACTAAACAAATAAAAAAGCTCTTAATTATTTTTTTTTAAATACATAATAATGAATGACATAGTATAAAACGGAAATTTATTTAAAAATTAATAATATAAATTTAAAAAATATAAAAATAAACATTACACATACTAAACTTTTATGCGTCATATATTTTTTGACCGACTTACTTTTATGAAGCATTATAGCAGACATATATTGAAACAGATTTTCAAAACAGACTAATAGAACCCAAAAAAAAAAAAGAAAACTTGAACAACTTGAAATGAGTATTCTTTGTTCGTAATATATATATATATATATATATATATATATATATATATATATATACATATATATATGGGGCCTAAAAATATTTTTGCGAGAAGGCCCATTTTAAGGCTAAGCTAACTCTGAAGAGTATTGATGAAGGGGTCCCATTGTTTGCCAATGGCACCCCTACACATACCATTTCAGTTTTAAAGAGACCGTTTCTCCGGGAGACTTGGTCTCAACGGAAACCGTATCGAAAGGGGCACTTTTGTCGGGAGTCATAATGACGTTTTCACGCAGCACGAAATGTAAACTATGAACGCCACTTTATTTACTTCTAAAGTCCAAATAGGGCCTAATAAACATCAATAAAACATTACACGTTATATTTATAATTCATTTGTTTTTGTTGCAATTCGTGCTGTTATATCTGATTTTATCGTGCTCTTTTCGTGATGATACACGTTATGTTGCACTAAAGGGGCTAAATGGTCGTCCATAATAGGATGGACTTATGTGATGTGATTGCAGATGGGGTGGGATGGGGGGGGGGGGGTGAGCAAAAAGTGTGGTTATACATTTTTATATATATATATATATATATATATATATAAGAAATTGATGTTTTTTAGGAACAAAAACCACTGAGGTGTGACGTCCATTTAGGGTGAGTGAATTTTTGATGACGATGTGAAGGTAAATCGTTTTAAAAAGCGTAAATCTTTTTATGGATGACCCATGTATGCAGTAAAACGAATCGTGGTTCACCTGTAACACATACCATGGGTTACCAGTCAGGGGGGGGGGGGGTAATTTGTAATTTATTTGGTTGCGGCCCCTGTGGGACCGCAACTGTTGATGTATTTTTTATGCTCTTCTGTGAGCAATGTTCCCACGTGTTCCCATGTCATGTGACCTCTGGGACTCTGGGTAGTTGTACCTGTGTTCGCGGCATTCAGACCCCAGGCTGCGGATGACAAGGACCGTTCAGCTGCTTAACTTGGTTATGTAAACCTAATGAAGGGCTATATGCTGTACACTACTGTATAATGATTTGCCGTATACGGATTTGCCGTATATGCAATAAAGCCAGGATCTATCAGCAAAAGCGTCAGTTCGTTGTGTGTTATCTCTCAGGGTCAGCCTTTAAAAACACTACACCTCAGTGGGTAACATCACACCACATCCCCATTGAGGCAGTGTTAGACACAATTATTTAGCAAGAATCTATAGTAGTTTATAAGTACATCCAAGTCTTTCATTCAGACTTTTATCTCCATGGAGGCTGGGGGAAAGGGGGAGGGTGTTTCATTGGTTTGTTATATAGAATTTAGTGTTCATAAGTTCATACGTGGATTGGGGAATATAATTTTACTATTTTTATTATGTTGGTATAACGGGTGTGTTAGGAAAGTTTGAAGTCGCACTTTTGCATTTAGGAAAGTAATTCATAAAAAAAAAAAAAAATTGCAATGGCAGTTATTTCGCATTTTTGTAGAATTTACTTATACACGTCTGATTCATCTATTATATATAATGGGGTAGGGCTACAGTGAGGTGTCATTTTATTGACGTTTCTAACTTTTTGAGAAGATGTTTGAGTTATAGTTTGAGGGTGGATCGTTAAAAAACCATGATATCGTTTAAGGTATGCTTATATCCTAATGGGTAGGCCACAGCACTGTATACAAAATATTATATCAAATAATAAAAGTTAATACAATTTTGCGGAATTCATTTAATCCTATTGTCCAAAATTGTGTGCAGTTCTTTGTTTTAGGCTTTTAGTTAGTTATATTTCTTTGTCTGTAATACTTGACCCACCCGTCAAGGATGAAAACTTGCCAACACAATTTGACTTCTTCCATAACGGTTTGTTCAAAATTCAAATGTAGACAAAGCTTCAAACAGAATGCAACATGATGATATGAATATGAATTTCGACATAATTAGATATTATATTATAGTTATTTTTGTTAATACTTGAGGATTGTTATATAAATTCGGAGAAGGTATCGTGTGGCTAAGGATATTTCGAGTCGGAATTGTGGTTAAGCTACTCATATGACTAAACAATATACAACACACGAATCCAGAAAAAAAAAATGTGAACAAATAAAATGAACTTCATCTTTTTATTTATCAGAAATATAAATTAAATTAAAAGTGTTCTGATTAAAGTTTGGGACGTTTTGCCCCATGCAGGGATAGCTTGACACATGTAATTGGATAGGAAGTCACAGTTAAAAATTTCAACAGAAGTTAATTAAATAAAATGAAATTAATGTCAAAAACAGGACCTGATATTGCAGTAGCTGTACCTGTGTCCAATGTAGACAACAGCTGCCATAGATGTCGCGAATATGAACTGTTTTTTTTTTTTTACATCAAACACCAAATTAAAAAAAAACATTTGCGAAAATAATGCTTTGTGCATTTGGATCAGCAACTAGATCTAGAACTCCAGTTAGAATTTAATTTAAAAAAAAAAACATGTCGAAGCACCACCCAATGGGTTTTTAGGATGGCAACCTAGGCTTCTTACTTAAATACTACTTAGTGACACCAGTGGGTACGAATGCATTTTCTCATACTTTCTAATGAAATTAACGTCGTCTTTGTGATCTTTTTTGCAATTATACAAGTTATAGATATGTACTAACCTCATACCCAAGAAGGTAATCCGAAAAAAAATTCCACATGTTTTAGCATTTCCCAATCTCATTATGTCTGACATTTCTAGAAAATTAATTGGTTTCTTGCTTCTATTTGGAACCTCGGATTGATCATTGATGGGTCGCTATAGTCAAGTTGGGTGACATAGCTCTAGTTTCCAACCAAGAGATCAAATTTAAAAGCATCAATAACAGATTTAGTCCAGTGACAAAATTATCAGATGGGCGGATTTGCTGAAATTGAATCCAAACTGTATTCTCTAGGCATAACAGAATGATGCTATATTTTCTACTTATTTTCTTTTAAAAGTTAAAACTAATCAACGAATCCCATAAAACAGGATTTGGGAAAAATGCGCTGTGTAATAAACAATAAGCATTTGCGATGGTTTGTCCAGTGAAGGGGAACAACAATTATTTTCATCACAATAAGACTAGTCTGGTTATATCCTCTTAAAAAGGAAACAACACGATAATTTTTTTTTATAAATTGAGAAAAAATTTAGTGGAGGGTGGGGGGTTAAAGTTGGGAATTAAAAATTGTCGTTATCTAGCTTAACATGCATCTATATATATATATATATATATATATATATATATATATATATATATATATATATATATATATATATATATATATATATATATATATATATATATATATATATATATATATATATATATATATACAGTTCATCGACGTTAAAAATAATCATAAAAGTTAAAGAGTTTTTAAATGGAGGTAATTTAAAAACAAAAAGCGTTGCTTTTCATTATTACCATATAGATATCTAAATAAAGAAAACATACTTTCATAAGATTATTTTTCAGAATGGAATCAATTATTGTCCTTAATTTCATCTTGTCCCTGGTTAGATCATTCCTTTTTACTGCTTTTTAATTGCCGATATCAAGATTTTAGTAGGGAACTGGAAACTATAAAATCAAATACAAATAATTTAGAGCTAAATTATCATTGATCAAATGAGTTACATAGTTTTATTTAAAAATCAGGGATAGTCAGAAATTTAATATTTAAACACTATTTTACCTCTAAAGTTGGTTGCTTGAAACACTTTAGTAATGTATGGAATTGCAAGCTTATTTGTGGTAAGAATGATTGCCCTCAAAGGACTTGTTTCTTTAGCAGCGTCACTGGCGAATTCACAGACATGTTGAGCAAATAAGCTAGCAACTGTTGGGTCAAGCTCACTTTTGTTATGGGTTTCTGAAATTTGTATAAAATAAATAGCTAATAAATGTGACTTTAAAGAATGTCCATATTTCAAAGAAGTAAATATCTTATGTTAACTATAATAGTGTTGTTGTTTGTTAAATAATTCTATAAATGATTAATTATTACTTAAGAATGGCTTATTGTTTAAAGAAGAAATCTTAACTATTGTGAGTTACAATTTTACCTGTAGGCTTAGAATGGAAGTTGCTGGTGAAAACTATAGATTTTACTTTTTCCTTTATTATATTCACTGCTTGAGTCAGGTTTTTAAAGGCTTCTGTTAAAGAAATCTGATTTACATCATCAACTACTAGCTGAAACACAAAACTTGATCTCTTTAATTTTAGGGACTGTACATTATTTATCTTTTCACCCATGTCAAGTATAAAGAGGTTTGCTGAGTGGTAGTCGCTGTGTTCACTAAATATAACATGTGGATCGCCCAATGTTATGATCAAATCTGGTTTAAAATCAAATGCATGTTTATGGCTAACACCCAGATTTACATTCATTATCTTGAATGAATACTCTAATTCATCTTTATCTTGCTTTGTGTACAATGAATATTTTAAATTGTCTAAGCTTTCATTCTGTCCTGAACAACTCCTGTCTTTTGTAACTGTTATTGGTAACTGCACATCACTTCCAGCTTCAGACTTTCTTGCTGTGAATAAGTCAGAAAAGTATTAACATAAAGATGAATAACATCATAAGCCTAAAATTGAAACTGAAAATCAAATAGAATTTAAAGTGTTAAGGTGTTAAAATTTCAAATGAAAAATAATTTTTGTAACAATTGAAGTTAGTCAAATTTAAAAGCAACAAACAGAATTAACATATTTTTCAAAACTTTACATTTCATTAACTTTAGAAATATATTTACATTTTTATTTTGGGATGGTGTGTTTGAGCAGGCTACATATTTATTGTTCAAAAAGTCTTTGGTTTAATGTTTAGTATCCTAAGAGTACATAGGATATTCATAAAATCAAACTAGCAATGATTAGTATTTGACAATAATCTTAATAATGATCAAGACAGCTAGACAAGGTACTGACAACACAAGCACTATAAGGGAGAGCATTACTCTATCCATCAAATAAATTTTGTTTTGTGTTTTTGTAATCTATAACCACATATATGTAAAATTTAGAATGTGGACTTCCGCATTGAACTTAGCCCTAACTCTTCCCCAATAATACACCCCTACAAAAGCTAACTAATGTTGGACCCCTCCCCAAATACTCCAGTCCATGCAGACATTGTATGTAGTATCAAACAATAAGGCCAATAATTAATTGTGTCGATTGATTTTATAGAGCCCAAGGTAAAACAAACTGTTGTGCCAATTCACCCACTTACCTATGATTATAGAGCAGCGGATTGTAATATATTGAGATAATTGTGAGGTCAAGGGAACTCACTCTTCTTGTGTTGGTTATATTTATAATGTTGTTATTATGAGTGATGTCCCTTGTGTATTCTTTTTCCTGTTCCGGCCTCCATCATGTTAGCAGAGGCCCAATAAAATGTATATACAAACAGCATGGCTTCTCGTCAGTGTGTTATAATAGAACCACGCCAATCTACCTCAATTGGCGACAAGGATAAATAATCCACTAGAAAGAGCACCTACTTACTCAAAAAGAGGTTTGCTAGAGCATATTGGCTAAGTATTTCTAGAATAATGGCGCTGTATGGCCAAATAAAAGAATTTGATTCGAATGATGAAATCATTCATGATCATCTAGATAGGTTAAGCTTTTACCTTGAAGCTAACGACGTGACGATAGAAGCCAAAAAGAGAGCTGTTTTGTTAACAGTCATAGGGCCTCAACAATTTAGGCTACTAAAGGACTTATGCGCACCAGCTAGTCTAACTACCAAGAGCTTTAACGAGCTGAGCAAATTGCTAACAGACCACCATGCGCCTGTACCATCAAAGTTTCTATGTCGAGCTAGATTTGACGGTAGGACTCGTCAACCAAACGAGTCAATATCAGAATATGTTGCTGCTTTACGTCATTTAAGTAAATTTTGTGAATTCGGCGATACGCTGTCTGACAGACTATGTGAAAAGTTTGTGACAGGTGTAAACAGCCCTGATATTCAAAGAAAGTTGCTGCTCGAGTCAGATCTAACATTAGAAAAAGCAATACAACTAGCAACTTCATTCCAGCAGTCATCCGAGGCGGCGAGATCTCTAACGTCTTCAGAGATCCATGCAGTAAACAGCAGGTTAGTCAACAAACACCAACCCCATCAGAGCATTCCAACTTATGCTAAACAGCCTGCACGTTTAAAGCCTAGATCTAAATCTAGTAATAATTATCAAAAATGTCATCGATGCAACGGTCCCCATGCATCTCATCGATGCAAGTTCAAATCAGCAACTTGTTATAAGTGCAGTAAGCAAGGTCACATTGCCAAGGCCTGCTTTGCAAAGTCTTCGTCTGTTGCTAAATCTAGCCAGTCAAGACAGTACCGCACCCAAAGGCAGCACTATGTTAACTCTCACCAAGACTACCTAACCCAACCAATGAACCACTCTACCTGTGAAAATGCTCAAACTGATTCGCAACCGGATTTCAACCTGTTCTCTGTGAAATCAATAAGTCATGCTCCCATCAATGTACTAGTTAATATCAACGGTAAGAGCATCAGCTTCCAACTTGACACTGGAGCATCTCTAACAGTCATCACAAAGAAGGATCAGTGCCTCTACAACCATGTCACAAGTGTTTAACAACATACACTGGTGACAATGTTCCGGTAATAGGAGAGTGTATGGTTCATGTAAGTTATAATGGTCAAAGTGTTAAACTTCCTCTTCTTGTGGTTGAAGGAAATGGACCACCATTACTATGTAGGAACTGGTTAGTTGATCTTAAGTTAAATTGGGAGAATATATGTTCATTGATCAATACAAGAGAATCTAGTCTTACTTCAATAGATAAAGTTATATCTGAAAATAAAAGTGTTTTTGGCAATTCAGGATTACTAAATGATAGAACAGTGAAGATAAGCATTAAAGACACAAATCCAAGATACTGCAAAGCTAGAGTTCCACCTTATGCAATGAGGAATAAAATTGAAAATGAGCTAAGTAGATTGGAATCTAATGGCATCATAAAGAAGGTAGACTATTCCGATTGGGCAACGCCCATTGTGCCAGTGTTAAAGAAGGATGGTTCTATAAGAATTTGTGGAGACTATAAAACTACACTGAATAAGCAAATAGAGCTAAATAGGTACCCTATTCCTAACATTGAGGAAATTTCTTTGAATTTGGCAGGAGGAGACAAATTCACTGAATTAGACTTTAGTCATGCTTACACTCAACTAGAACTGCATCCAGATTCAAAAGTCTATACGACAATAAACACACATAAAGGACTCTACCAATATGAAAGACTATGTTTTGGCATATCATCTAGCCCTGGAATTTTCCAAGCTGTCATGGACAGTATTTTTAAGGATATTCCAAATGTTTGTGTTTACTTTGACAATGTGTACATAACTGGTAAGAATGACACTGAACATCTTAAAACACTTGATAAAGTCTTGAAAATAGTTGGTGAAAAAGTTTAAAGATAAACAAAGATAAATGTCAATTCATGATGACAGAAATTAGTTTTCTTGGTTATATATTAAGCAAGCAAGGTATCAGACCTCAACCTGAGAAAACAAAAGCCATTAAAGAAGCACCCAAACCTGAAAATACCCAACAACTAAGAGCTTTTTTGGGCTTGATAAATTACTATGCAAAGTTCATAGGGAATCTGTCTGGTAAACTATCACCACTGTACAAGCTGCTACAGAAAAATGCAACTTGGCACTGGGGTAAACAACAAGAAGCTGTTTTTAATACAGCAAAAGAAGCTTTGTCTTCTGACACCTTACTAACTCACTATGACCCAGGGAAAAGACTTATATTAACATGTGATGCTTCACCAGATGGTGTAGGAGCAGTCTTGTCCCACATGGATGAGAAGGGTGACAGATCCATTGCTTTTGCCAGTAGATCTTTGAACCAGGCTGAGAAAAATTACTCTCAGTTAGATAGGGAAGGCTTAGGCATCATTTTTGGTGTTAAGAAATTTCATAAGTTTCTGTTTGGTAGGAAGTTCACCATCTTTACAGATCATAAACCATTGCTAGGTTTATTTGGAGAAAACAAAACCCTACCTGAGCATGCCTCACCAAGAATTCAAAGATGGACTATCACACTAACTGCATACAATTATGAATTGAAATACAAACCTGGATCTGAGAATAGTGCAGATAGTCTTAGTCGTTTACCTTTAAAAAACCAAAGCCTTAGTAATGTACCAGAAGATGTATTTGTTCTCTTCACTATCATGGATAACTCCAATATAGATGTGAATGATATTAAGAGAGAAACACAAAAAGATGAGAGCTTAATTAAAGTATATGAGTACTGTAAGAATGGTTGGCCTGAAGAGTCTGTGAATGATGACTTAAGGCCATATAAAATAAGAAATAAAACCCTTTGTGAAGATAATCTAAAAGATGGAGAAGATGCAGTCCATTATCAGTCAGAGTTGCCTAAACAAAGTATTTGTAACTTAATAAATGATTATGGTGATATGGCAATTTCAAATACATTAGTAAGAAGGAATGTGATCATCAAACAACTTTGCTAACATCATTAGCACTTACAGAAACTAAAAGGGTAACATCAAAAGAAAAAAAAAGATTTTTGCCATTTAATACACCCACTTCAAATACTGGATCACAGTTGCAAAGTGATATGGTCCAGGATAGTACTTTTATACAGTATTTTTGGTTAATAAAAAGCACTATCAGATTACCTGAGAAAATTGATCAATCAAAGAAATCTATGTCAGTTAAGGATCTGAATAACAGCATAATACTTCCAGATGCCAATTCAAAAATAGTTCCATTAAATCATGACAAAACATGCATTGAAAGAGAATTTGGTGTTAATGAGAATGTGTATCTGAGAAACTATGGGAGAAAGGAAAAATGGATACCAGGTCAAATTGTTCAATGTACAGGACCTGTGTCTTATAAAGTAAAAACAAATGATGGACTTATTGTCCGTAGACATGCAGACCAGTTAAAAATAACTTGTGCAGATAATAAGTGTGAATCTGTCAATCCCACCAAATCTGAACAGTTCACACCAACTCAGTTTGTTCCACAACCAAGTTCTGTTGATATGAGTGAACCAAGTTGTCTGGAGTCAGAAAATGTAAATTCTGGAGTTAATGATTTAAATCCTAGACCTCCTGAGATAGAGAATCCAGATGGTCAGAATCTTGAGTCACCAAATCAAAAGCCACTGAGAAGGTCAAGCAGGACAATCAAAGTCCCAAATAAGTTAGACCTATGATTTTAAAGGTCAAAAGGACTTTGACATCATTGTTTTGTATTTAATTATGTTGTAACATATTGTGCATTGTTTGTAAGGATGTAATCTACCATAGTGTTCATGTTACAATATAATTGGTGATTTTAGGATACTATCAATTGTTCTATTGAGAGATGTGTTGTTGTGTTCTAAGGGTAAAGGGATGTAATATATTGAGATAATTGTGAGGTCAAGGGAACTCACTCTTCTTGTGTTGGTTATATTTATAATGTTGTTATTATGAGTGATGTCCCTTGTGTATTCTTTTTCCTGTTCCGGCCTCCATCATGTTAGCAGAGGCCCAATAAAATGTATATACAAACAGCATGGCTTCTCGTCAGTGTGTTATAATAGAACCACTCCAATCTACCTCACGGATCTTAACCTTTGTAAAGTTATTGAGACCCGTCAGTTTCATATGCGCATTTACTGAACATTTCTTAGTAGTTCTATCATCCGCAGAGTTTCTTCCAGGCATCTCTTCGGGGGGGGGGGGGGGGCACCCCGAACGAAATGAAAATTTATATAATTTATATAGAAAATATATACTTTTAACAGTCTCCGCCCTCCCCCCCCCCCCCCGAAGAAAGTCTACAACCCCCCCCCCCCCCCAAAAAAAAATTTCAAGTGCCCCCCCCCCCCCCCCGAGAAAAAAGTCTGGAAGAAACACTGATCATCCGCACTAACACAATCTGATAGTGAATAATAAAAGTTGGATGTGTCTTTACCTCCGCCGAACCAGTGATACCAACTCCCGAACCTGTGGGGTTTTGAGTGAACCTATAAAATGAATAAATGTTATTTAATTTAAAAATGTCATAAAACTATAGTTTAGTATATTAGTAATAGCCTGTTAGGGGGTCGTCCATAAATGACGTCACACTCGTAGGGGAGAGGGGGGTCCGTAATTTCGTGACGGTGTGTGATGAGAGGAAGGGGGGAGGGGTTCAGATATTGCGACGTCACACCTTTGCATTATAAATAAACCGGTAGCGATCTCCCCTAAACTTTCTCGAATATTCTTTTATAAAACAACAGAGGATGGGAACTCGGGATATAGACATGAATTTTAATCCATTTTAAATACTTGAACTTTTTAAAATAGAATAAAATCTCGTAGAAAAAATAATTGCACACATGTGAACGCCAAATAAAACGTGCATAATAGTGCGGAATATTATTAGTACTTTATAAATTTACATTCGTTTTTTGAGAAATCGGAAATAGCGTAAATTATAACTTTTAATCAACGGAAATTACTCAAAATTTGACAGAAGGTAGAGACTTAGATCTTTTACTTACATGTGAAATTTCATTTATCTATCTGAACTAGTACTCAAGTTATAGGCTTTTTAAAAATTCAAAGTAGAAAAAGTATCATTTCCGGTTATCGGAAATCGCTCAAAAGTTGATCAGGATCTACGATTTTGATAAAATACTTATATATGAAATTGCATCAACCTAGCTGTAACGGTACTCAAGTTATCGTGTTTACACACACAGACATACGGACAGAATTGCAAAGTCCAGTTTTTACGACTTGATAACGCATAAAACGCCAAAATGTTTATATATTTGTATTTATAATTTTTGCTTGATTAAAATAAGTCCTCTATACTCCGGATGTGATGAAGGACTGAGGAGTAAAACGGTGAAAACTGTCAAAATTTCATGTTATTTTTGTGCACGATTAATATACTTTTTCTATACTTCGTATATACGAGAAAGTAAAAAGCAATGTTAGAATACGAATTTTAGACGTTATTTCGCGTTTTAGAAAACTGTTTTAATAAATTGCAATAGGATTTGATTAAAATACTCTATTTTGACAGATTTCAGACAAGATTTTGGAAAAATATCGATGTTTTATAAAAAATTCAACTGCAATTTTGAGGGGGGTTGTAGGCTGAGGTGTGACGTCATTTTAGGGGGGGTCTGGCTTTTTGTGACGAAGTGTGACGGAGGGGAGGGGGGGGGGAGGTAAAAATCCTCAAAAAAAGCGTGACGTCATGAATGGTTGACCCATTATAGATAAAACAATTCCTTACGGCTTGTTCAAGTTACTTTAACCTATAGGTTATGCGCAAAACAGAAATGCATCTAGGAAACTGCCTTTATTCTTTTTAATACCAGAACCACATCTTACCATATAAGGCTGAGAATTGGGTGATGATGAAACTCTTTCACTGTTTGGGTGTTTTTGTGATGGGACACTTTTGTCTTCCTTTGCTTTATGTGCTGCCTTACCAATTTTATCAGTATGTGAGCTAAAAATAGCACCATTCTGCTTTCCTCTTTTATCTTGCTTGGGCAAGTTTTCTCTTGAAACTTGTGAAGCTTGACTTTGCTTTTTCATGTAAGCAACAGCAAAATTTAAATCTCCTTCAAAGAACTTACATTTTTTCTCCGTATGCCATTGTTTTGTGAAACATATTTTAATAGAATCAATCATGGCATCACTTATATCAACAAAATGAATTTCTTTCAAAGCTGTCAAGTTCGTATGTTGTACGAGGGCATCATAATTTTTAACAGCATGCATATAAGCTTCAGCACATAGATCTTGTGGGACTCTAAATATAGCTGTGGGTGCAAAAAGATTAAGAGGGTAGGCGCCTGAAAAAAAAGTGGACATTTTTTTTAAAAGCCTTTCTTATTTATTTGTGTATATCTAAGTTAGGGTACTTAAGGAAACATTTTTGCATACATCAGGAACTCTTCTGAAAATATGGTTGACATGGCAACGGCAGCCAACTTGGGAAAAAAACGATCTATTGTGGAGTTCTAAAATTTCATAAAGTAGCATATATATTGCCTATATAATCATTTATTCTTCTTGTACTAACACCAATAGAGACAGCTCAGTGGCGTAGCGAGGTCGGGTGTCACCTGGAGCGGCACTTAATGGTGTCAGCCCCCAGAGGCGTAGCGACCCTTCCCGGGGACAAACTTTCAATTTTCGATTTGCACCCCCCCCCCCCCCTCAAACTTTCGCTTTACACCCCCCCCCCCCTCGAACTTTCGATTTGCACCTCTTAAAAGACTATTTAACACTCGAATTAATCACTTGATTAAGTGGAATTATCATTTTTCTCTATATATTTTGTAATATTTTGCCTTGGTGTCACCCCCTTAAATGGTGTCACCCGGTGTGGTCAGCACCCCTCGCCCCCCCCCCCCCCTCGCCACTGAGTCAGCTGGCTAATTTTTGTAACAGAGAAACCGCTAGAAATATTTTTTTTTCAAACTTTTTTTATGGTGAAATACCATTAAATTTAGCATCAATTTCAATAGAATTTCGCCATACCAAATTTTGAAAATTCCAAAAGAATATTTCTATATTCTATTTCCATAGTCTATTGCGCTGTTTAAAACGAACGTAGGTGCCATTGCGCTCACGGCAAAACCGGAGGCGCCTAATAGAACCCTGTCGCGGGGCCGCCCATGCGAGATTCAATTTTTGTGTTGTTGCAGAAACCTCCTAATATTCTTAACAACTTCCCAAAGTTTCAAGGCGATCGGATGACAGGTGTAATAATGCATAAAATAGCAACCGTTGCCGCGTGCGAAATTAATCCCCCCCCCCCCAGAAACATCGGAAGTATTCATCAACTCCCTAAAGTTTTATGGCACTCGAATAAACGGTGTCGAACCGTATCCGACTTTCATTTGTTAAAATATATCTTCAATAGAGAAGAATAACATTCTTCCGTGGCGCCGCCCTTTCGAAATTAAAAATTATTTTTTACAGAAATGTTTTTACAGCATACGTTTTTTTTTAAAAAAAAACCAAACAGTTTCGTCACTTGGTTATTATTGGGGTTTTTTACGGACAAAAAGAAGCATTCCAATTAAAAATCTAACCTTGGTAAATTTTTCTGATTATTAAAAAAAACTTATTACATTGCCCTCAGCGGCCCATGTGAGCCTTTGTTCGCCGAAACTGAAATTTTTGTTCGCAGCCAAATTACACCCTACCAGGGAGCCGGCGGACTTGCCTGATTCAATTTAGTGAGCCACTGTAACGCCCCATTTTATCCATTTTCTATCACACTGTTTAGACCGAACGTAGTCGCCATAGCGCTCACGCGCCAAATCGCATCCTGCCGGGGGCCGCCCGTGCGAAATTACCCCCCCCCTCCCAGAAACATCGGAAGTATTCATCAACTCCCTAAAGTTTTATGGCACTCGAATAAACGGTGTCGAACCGCATCCGACTTTCACTTGTTAAAATATATCTTATATAGAGAAGAATAGCATTCTTCCGTGGCACCGCCCTTTAGAAATTAAAAATTATTTTTTACAGAAACCTTCCCTATAGTGTACTAATCAGCTCCCCAAAGTTTAATTGTGATCAGATGAACGGTCTGCAAACCGCAATCATTTTTTTTAAATATACAGTATATTGAGAAAAAACAAATGGCGCCCTGACGCATTTTCTCGAAGAAACCTCTCCAGGGGTATCTTAATTTACTCCCCAAAGTTTAATGGCGATCGGATGAATGGTGTCGAACCGCATCTGACTTTTATTCTTTGTATACCGTGCATAGAAAAAACCGCAACCTCCCGTTGCGCCTCCCTGGTGAAATTTAAAAAAAAAAAGAATTTTTACAGAAACCTCACCTGGAGTGTTCTAATTAACTCCCCGAAGTTTCATGGCGAGCGGATAAACGGTGTCAAACGGCAATCGACTTAATGTAGAGAAAAATCGCACCTTTCCGGGGCGCCGCCATTGTGAAATTTAAAAGGATTTTTTTATAGGTGTGAAACCGCAATCGATTTTTATATACCGTATATAGAGAAAAAACAAATTCGCAGAAACCTCCCCAGGAATATTCTCAACACCTTCCCAAAGTTTCACGGCGATGTGATGAGAGGTGTAGTAATGCATAAAAGACAAACAGACACACACACACAAACACACACTCACAGATATAAATTGCTTTATATATATATATATATATATATATATATATATATATATATATATATATATATATATATATATATATATATATATATATATATATATATAAATAATAGTCACCTGCACTAATAGGTGGTAAAGCTATAGTTGACATTTCCCTTTTTGTGGCCTCCAGAAGGCAAGTGAGAACTGTTCTTCTCAGATCATCTGTGCACTTGTTCTTATCCACATAATCATCCCACTTTGGACCAACAGCATGTATGACATGTTTAGCTGGCAGGTCTCCACCAGTGGATACAAACACTCCAGTGACTTGAACAGACTTATTTTCTTCTATATACCTCTCACATTCATCTTGCAGCCGATAACCTGCAGCTTTTGAAATGACTCTAGCAACACCACCTCCATGTCTTAAATGTTTGTTAGCAGCACTTACAATACAGTCAACTTCACGTCTAGTGATGTCTGCATTGAATACGCTGATTTCGACTCCAGTGCAGCCAATATATATAGGAGAATATTCATCTAAATTCCTTATATACCTGCTCCCTAACCTTCGTTCATAATTTTCATCTTGCTGATAAGAACCTTCCATTACCCTGTTTACATTTGGTTCTTTAGCTGTAGCTACTCCACCTAACATTTTTCCCTTGGTTGTAGAAAAGACTTGATTGATTTTATGATCTGAAAAGGGCACAGCTTCCTCTTTATTGCTCTTTACCTTTTTTTTGAATGGACATCACTTCATCAGTGGGTCCTACCAACAGCAGCTTTTCTTTGTGTCTGATAATTTTTGTATAATTTGACACCAAACTAGTTACTACATCAACATTTTCATCTTCAATTGGTACTACCTTTAAATTTTTAAGTTTTACAAGTAGTTCTTTTCCTTTCACATCCTTAGGTGTAAACTTTAATTCATGATCAATGGCATCTTTGAAAAAATAAGAGTACTCTGTTTCACTGAAGTAGCTTCGGGCTGCATCAAAAATATTTTTTTGCATTGGATAGTAAGTCATCACATCTTCATCTCCATCTTCAAATTCATGATGTTGTTCATTTCTTTCATTTTCTACAGCTGTGTAGTTCTGAAAGGCTTTATTTCCTGTAATATTGCTATCCATTTTTACTTGCAAAGAATCATTTAAGTATGAGATTGAATCATTTTCCTGAAAGTTTCTTGAGGAATTTGCTGATGCATTATTGTATTGGTGTTTTTTTCCATAGGCTTTCATCAAGATTGTGCAAAGTCTTTGAAAATTATGTTCTGTTGGGAAAACTTTACTTTCTATTACTTCAGGTGTTTCAGCATTATACTTGAAATTTAGATCTAAAATATCCTTTAATTCATCTTTTTCAAACTTGATCTTTTCTTGTAAAATGATTTTAAATGTTTTAATCTAAAAGAAAACATAGAGAAGAAGTAATAAGTGGTTTAATGTTTATTAGATACAAAGTTGATGATGATTGGCTCAAAGTTAGAGAAACAAAATATGTTATGACCGGTAATGTTTATCAATAACATTGTAAAGCTAGTATGTAAGACGTGCCACCACTAGGGCTGGATTTAACTTCATTGATCATTATTTCTATAAAAAAGCAAAAACGTACTTTAGATGAGTTTATATTTTTACTTCCATAAAATAAATAGTCAAATGACTGCTGGAATTTTGTTTTACATATTTTGATAATAACAATCAATTATAATGTCTGTATTTGTTATATAGGACTAAGAAAGGGACTTAAATAAAAAGATACAAAAATAACCATGTATTAAAATGTATAAATAACTTTCAATAAGTAATGAGAATCATTTCATCATTATTGTTGACATGAATAAAAATCAAGTTTTGTCAATTTAGCCTTAATTGCGACTGTAAAAAAAAAATATATCAGAAATGTAATATTTTAAGAATCAGTTATAACAGAAAGTCAAAGTTTTGAATGATACTAGAAAATGAGTAGGACTTAGAATAAACCACCAAATGACAAAAACTAAAAATTAATCATAAAAAAATACAGATATAAAACAAAAAACAAGCTTTATTTATCTCAAAAGTGTGGTCGATGTGTCAGGAAGAACAGACGAATATAACAAACACAGATAGGCCTGATTCAATAGACATTTGTCATCAGACATCCCAAAACACAGCTAAATACACCTTTTAAATTCAGGCATAAAAGCAGTCCTGCTACATGAATCCAAGACATGAAAAACATCAGAGGGCACAACAAAAGAACCCACACTTATAGTAATAGGTGCCTAAGGAGAATATTAAAAAATAAAATGGCAAGACAAGGTAGAAAATGTGAAACTTTGGGAGATATGTGGACAGGAAACAATAGAAAGGAAAATCATGGAGAGGAAATAGCATACACTTAGAAAGAATGATGGCATTAGAGCCAGACAGGCCTAAGAGTGGACCCCCCCCCCCCCCCCCCCCCAGGGCAAGTGAGACATGGCAACATAGCTCGATGGTGGAGGCAAAAAGGATAGGAAGAAAATAGAAACAGCTTAAAAGAGTGGCAGGTCAAAGAGGAAGCTTTGAAAGAAGCCCTATGTTCAGCAAGGAGTGAAGAAAAAATGATGATGATATAGAGAAAAGTTGTGAATGCTGAGAACTTGATAATATTTTGTTTTGTTTAAGGCTCTAATTTCTATTTATTTTCACCAAGCTTAAATTATAACCTGAAGTTACACTTTTGTAAGACAAGCATTAAATGGCTGAACAAAAAACTCAATGAACAATCTTTTGAAAACACCACTTTCTAATAATTTATACTAAAAACTTGGCAGATATAATTTTTAATAAAATAGAAAATTTTTAAACCACATGACCTAGTTATGTCATGTTTATGTACATTTTCAGTGACAAAATGTAAACAACTGAACTGTTTTTGGCTTTTTGTTTAGTTAAAATATATCCAATCTTTAGTAAAACAAAGAAACAAAGAACCGAACAGTTAGATTTTTATTACCATATCGATTTTAATAACACCATACACGATTTTTAAATATTTAATGGGTCTTTCAGGGATCAAGCCTTATCTGCCAGAGGGTTTGAACTCGAGACTTTTTCGAATTTAATAACTATTATTAGCTTTGCTGACTGGACCACGCCTCCATCAAAATTAAGTTTCCGTGTCAACTGGTTATGCGCCTTTTAGGCCATTAACTCGGATTTTAGCCGGCTTTTCTTTTTGGATTTGCTACCATAGCCTTTGTCCAACCAAGAATAAACTACAAGGCAGCAGTTGTTTGATTTTGGAGTTGTCTCTCCTAGAAGAGTGGCTGTCCCCAGCTAACAAGCCATATCTGCCCAAGGGTTTGAACTTGACACTTTTCGGTTTAGCAAGCATGAGCTTTACCGACCAGACCACATCGATCTCCTGTATTTATTTGATTTATGGCAAAGTAAAGCATGTCATATTCATATCCAATCCATAGCCTATGATGGCTATTAACTATATTAACTATAAATAGTAATATATAAGCCTTAGTTAGGCCCAGTGGCGTAGCTAGGCCGGGTGTCAGCACTCAGTGGTGTCACCCCCCCCCCCCCCCCACAAAAAACATATATATATATATATATATATTATATATATATATATATATATATATATATATATATATACTTTAATAATATATATATATATATATATGTATATATATATATATATATATATATATATATAGTAACGATGTCTGTATATATTCTGTTAATAATACAGTTGTATCTAGTATGTTTTCTTTTTCGTTAGCAAGTTTACGTGATGGTGTCACCCTACCCTCTTGTAATAATTGTCGATTTGTACTTAAAAGTCTATTTAACTTTAATTAATCATTAATGGTACTGGCAAAAGAGCATTATCTCCAATACATTTTGCAATTTTGTGCATTGGCGTCACCCCCCTAAATGGTGTCACCCGGTGTGGTCCGCACCCCAGCACTGCCCTCACTACGCCTCTGGTTAGGCCTACTAAACTACTCATAATATTATTATTAACTAAATAATAAATATAGAGTAGGCCATAGGTCTATAGAATGGCTATGGCTATTATTTATAGGATAGGCCTATATAAATATATAATAAAATAATTAATTTAATTAATTACTATAGGCCTAGTTAATTTAATAATTACGATCAAGATTATAATAGGCCTATATGTAATAATAATTAATTAATTATACATACAATGCCGTGGTGACATAAATCTTGTGACGTCATATTGCTTTTTGTTTGTAGACTAAATCTTGAAAGAGGTGGTTATTTTTTTTATTATTAATTAATGTTTGTTTGATTATTAATGATTATTTCAAATGGAAATTTACTAAAATAAATAATAAACTCAAATAAACTGCTACTACAGGTAAGTGTAGACTGTAGATCTACCACTAGATTTAATCTAGTAGATTATCTAGTATCTAGATATCATAGCTACTTTAGCTAGCTACTAGAACTAGATTTTCTAGATCTAGAATCTACTACTAGACTAAAAAATATAAACAAAGATTAAAATTTAATAAAAGAGCTAAGAGTATTAATAATAATATACTAGACACTTGTAGAAATTATGTAGATCTAGGTCTAGATCTAGATCTAGATCTAAGAAGACCTACACGTATGGGAAAAGTAAAAAAATGTAATAGTGAAACTTCCTTTTTTCTCAGAAACCAGCTCTAAATCCAGTTTCTATTTAAAGATTTGGGGGATTTTATTATCATGTGACTAACTCTCTAGTGTTTATAGTTTATATTTTATATTAACTTAATATACTTTAAAAAAATTTAATGCGTGAATGAATGCCCCTTTGAAAGATCTGGACTATAGATTCTAGATGTCTAGTTCTAGTCCAATAGGCTATTGAATAGCAGAATCTAGATCTAGATTCTAGACTTAAAACAACACAAAATTGTATCTGTAATAGATCTAGCTAGATCTATATTTATTTTAGATTACAATGAGCATTTCGAAAGTGAATTAATGGTTATGATCCTATTTTCGTATTTTGCCCATTTAGGAAAACCCCGATTTTTGTTTTTAAACACTACTCGCTACTTAGGGGTCATCCATTTATGACGTCTACAAACATTTGGAATTTTAGACCCCCCCCCCCCCCCCCCCCCCCCCATTGTGGACGTTCACAAGATTTGTTAGTAGACCTCTCACAACATGCAGCAAAATTACTAATTCCTTTACATGCAGTATGGTCTAAACAGATATAGGGATTTGATATTTTCGGTTACATCTATCTATTCTAAAAATTACTTGGGAGCTAAACTTTTCCAAGATGTCTGTAAGGGGTGCAAATCGAAAGTTTGAGGGGGGGGGGGGGGGCGGGGGGTGCAAATCGAAAATTTGAAAGTTTGATAAAGTAGGAAAAAACGTTGATCACCTTTATGATTTTCCTCTCGATATTTCTATTTTAACTAAATGTACCTGATGTATTAAAATAGACCTGTATTTGTTCTCGTCTCATTACCCAGTATTTAAATACAACTGCTGTATGTCAAACAAAACGCGGAAAACTTAAGTAAAACTTCCGCACGTGCCGAACATAAGTATTGTGAGAATGTTATGTGTTTTTTTTTTCTGTACATTCATTTATGTAGATATTGTTTAACATGTCAACTTCCTGCTAGTTAGGACATAAACCTGATGGAATGCATCTGTCTACAAGTAATCCTGTAAAATGGTTTGAGGAAACTCAAGAGTTACTGGGACACGTTGATACCCCTTGTGTATTCAACTCTCATCATCATCGGAAGGGGAAAGCTCATGGCTGCTAACCAGTTTAGTCCAGAGTTCGAACCACCGGGAAGATGAGGCTTGGGGGCAGCAATTCCGAAAACAAACCATAGTAGAGACCTTCGGCAGCCAGCCCTTGCTGCACAGCTTATACGAATTTCTATAGGGGACGCCTCTTGTGAAAAAGGAGGCCTGATAATCGTGTCAACTTGCTGTCCAGGCTTAGAACCCGTCTTTTCCAGACGCAATCAATCTTTTTTTCGGTGACAAAAGAGCCACTGCACAATACTAGACCTATATGTTATTTTCCCTTCTGAAGAAAGACTTATCCAGGGCCAGCGCTACCTATAAGGCGAACTAGGCGGTCGCCTAGGGCGCTGTCCGTAGGGGGCGACAAAATGGGTTGGAAAACCAAATTGAAAGTTTGAGGGGGTGGGGGGTGCATATCGAAAGTTTGTTCCCGGGCGCCGGGAAGGGTCGCTAAGCCTCTGATAATACGGGGCACGAAAAAAATTGCGGGGGGGGGGGGGGCGCTTTTAATAAGTTTTGCCTAGGGCGCTAAATAACTTGAGTTCATGATAGTATTATTCAATGTTTATAACATAATGTTGTTACAGTTATAGTGGTTTAATATAGCGAAACATAAAAAATGATTTAAATATAACGTGTCTACTAAATGTTGACAGCTAGACTGCTAACCCGAAAGTCTCGAGTTCGAATCCAAGTTCAAGTCAGTAGAGCGTCAGTGAGTTCACCCAGCTCTGATGGGTACCCAACTCACGTTATTTTGACCCACAAAGATGTTGTGATGCGGGTCTGGGACGGGGTCGACCTTGTAGGATCACGTGGATCTAAAGACAATGACCAACAGTGTGATAGATTAGAATCACTGACGAGAAGCCACATTGGTTGTTAACAGTAGTTTATTCACACCATGAGGAAAGAGAGAGAGGGCGGAAGTGACGAGACACTTATATACATAACATGTAAGGGACATCACTCAAGATAACAATATAAATATAATACTAATACAGAAGAGTGAGTTCCCTTGACCTCACAATTATCTCAATCTATTACATCCCTTTACCCTTAGAACACAATAACACATCTCTCAATAGAACAATTTACAGTATCCTAAAATCACCAATTATATTGTAACATGAACACTATGGTAGATTACATCCTTACAAACAATGCACCATATGTTACAACATAATTAAAATACAAACAATGATGTCAAAGTCCTTTTGACCTTTAAAATCATAGGTCTAACTTATTTGGGACTTTGATTGTCCTGTTTGACCTTCTCAGTGGCTTTTGATTTGGTGACTCAATATTCTGACCATTTGGATTCTCTATCTCAGGAGGTCTAGGATTTAAATCATTAACTCCAGAATTTACATTTTCTGACTCTAGACAACTTGGTTCACTCATATCAACAGAACTTGGTTGTGGAACAAACTGAGTTGGTGTGAACTGTTCAGATTTGGTGGGATTGACAGATTCACACTTATTATCTGCACAAGTTATTTTTAACTTTATAAGGCACAGGTCCTGTACATTGAACAATTTGACCTGGTATCCATTTTTCCTTTCTCCCATAATTTCTTAGATACACATTCTCATTAACACCAAATTCTCTTTCAATGCATGTTTTGTCATGATTTAATGGAACTATTTTTGAATTGGCATCTGGAAGTATTATGCTGTTATTCAGATCCTTGACTGACATAGATTTCTTTGATTGATCAATTTTCTCAGGTAATCTGATAGTGCTTTTTTTTGTAACTAAAAATACTGTTTACAAGTAATATCCTGGACCATATCAATTTGCAACTGTGATCCAGTATTTGAAGTGGGTGTATTAAATGGCAAAAATCTTTTTTTCTTTTCTTTTGATGTTACCCTTTTAGTTTCTGTAAGTGCTAATGATGTTAGCAAAGTTGTTTGATGATCACATTCCTTCTTACTAATGTATTCTCTTTAAAAGCATTTGAATTTGCCATATCACCATAATCATTTATTAAGTTACAAATACTTTGTTTAGGCAACTCTGACTGATAATGGACTGCATCTTCTCCATCTTTTATATTATCTTCACAAAGGGTTTTATTTCTTATTTTATATGGCCTTAAGTCATCATTCACAGACTCTTCAGGCCAACCATTCTTACAGTACTCATATACTTTTATTAAGCACTCATCTTTTTGTGTTTCTCTTTTAATATCATTCACATTTATATTTGAGTTATCCATGATAGTGAAGAGAACAAATACATCTTCTGGTATATAGCTAAGGCTTTGGTTTTTTAAAGGTAATCTACTAAGACTATCTGCACTATTCTCAGATCCAGGTTTGTATTTCAATTCATAATTGTATGCAGTTAGTGTGATAGCCCATCTTTGAATTCTTGGTGAGGCATGCTCAGGTAGGGTTTTGTTTTCTCCAAATAAACCTAGCAATGGTTTATGATCTGTAAAGATGGTGAACTTCCTACCAAACAGAAACTTATTAAATTTCTTAACACCAAAAATGATGCCTAAGCCTTCCCTATCTAACTGAGAATAATTTTTCTCAGCCTGGTTCAAAGATCTACTGGCAAAAGCAATGGGTCTGTCACCCTTCTCATCCATGTGGGACAAGACTGCTCCTACACCATCTGGTGAAGCATCACATGTTAATATAAGTCTTTTCCCTGGGTCATAGTGAGTTAGTAAGGTGTCAGAAGACAAAGCTTCTTTTGCTGTATTAAAAGCAGCTTCTTGTTGTTTACCCCAGTGCCAAGTTGCATTTTTCTGTAGCAGCTTGTACAGTGGTGATAGTTTACCAGACAGATTCCCTATGAACTTTGCATAGTAATTTATTAAGCCCAAAAAAGCTCTTAGTTGTTGGGTATTTTCAGGTTTGGGTGCTTCTTTAATGGCTTTTGTTTTCTCAGGTTGAGGTCTGATGCCTTGTTTGCTCAATATGTAACCAAGAAAACTAATTTCTGTCAGCATGAATTGACATTTATCTTTGTTTATCTTTAAACCTTTTTCACCAACTACTTTTAAGACTTTATCAAGTGTTTTAAGATGTTCAGTGTCATTCTTACCAGTTATGTACACATTGTCAAAGTAAACACAAACATTTGGAATATCCTTAAAAATACTGTCCATGACAGCTTGGAAAATTCCAGGGCTGGATGATATACCAAAACATAGTCTTTCATATTGGTAGAGTCCTTTATGTGTGTTTATTGTCGTATAGACTTTTGAATCTGGATGCAGTTCTAGTTGAGTGTAAGCATGACTAAAGTCTAATTCAGTGAATTTGTCTCCTCCTGCCAAATTCAAAGAAATTTCCTCAATGTTAGGTATAGGGTACCTATTTAGCTCTATTTGCTTATTCAGTGTAGTTTTATAGTCTCCACAAATTCTTATAGAACCATCCTTCTTTAACACTGGCACAATGGGCGTTGCCCAATCGGAATAGTCTACCTTCTTTATGATGCCATTAGATTCCAATCTACTTAGCTCATTTTCAATTTTATTCCTCATTGCATAAGGTGG